AGCTAGGCTCTGAAGTAATATGTAACGCAAAGCTTTGCATGGGATGCTAGAAGTGCATAGATTCTCGGCTTCTAAGTGTTTTTTGCTCATTGGCCCTTTCACCTATATTGAAGCTGAAGCAAATGGGATGCTATTACTGAGGTCTTGCTCTGACCTGTGGAGGGCACAGGTCAAAGCTCAAGCATGGAACCATGCACAGCCAGTGATTCCCAACGCACAAACCAAAAAGAAAGCCTAAACTAATACCCTGGAGGATCTTTGGTCCAAAGACAAACTCAACAGGTCCAAAGTCCAAAAGCCAGGCTTTACAGGATGACCTCCCGGCCTGCACGAAAGATCTCCCCAAACGAAAGGTGTTCGGGACATCTGACCAACGTGGAAACCCTGAAAACCCACCTCAGCAGACCTGAGCCACCTGCTCTCACCGGGGCTGGGGACTTTTCCAACTGCAGGACCCAGCAGCTGGGTGATCAGTGCTGGCACACGGACCTGGCGAAGCAGCTAGAGGTGGTTCCAAACTATTTGACTGTTGGACTCTGTTTTGACCTTCGACTTCCCAGAACCTCTCAAGTCCATTCAAGTCCTGGGATGATTCCCAACGTGACTTCTTTCAAGATGCAAACAGTTTTTGGACTCACGTGCACATGCTTCAGCTGAATTAGGCTCATGCAACTAGCTCAACTGATGCTTGGAGATTCTACAAAACCAGCTGCAAAAACATCCGAAAACAAACGCGAGAGCGAGGAAAGTCAATACGAACAAAACTGTTGGATTTGTCCACCTGCCATGCTCCCATGGCCCACTGCGCCCGGGTCCTTTCTTGTGTCGAGGCTCCCGGCGCGCCCGGGTCGGTCGGGGCGGCAGGCGATCTTCAACTCCTGGATTCCGTGGACTCCGTTCGCACCAGCTCGCTGCGGCAACGCTCCACAGCAGAGAGGGAGGGATGCCTCGATCTTCCTCGATGGGGATGCCGTGCCAGGTTTGGGAGGGTTGGCTCCCACCGGGGAGATCTTGTGGATGCTGCTTCAGCTCCGGTCTACCTCCAACCCCCCAAGGTCTTTCAAGTCCTCACAGCCGAGTCTGGCCCTTGAACAGCCGTCGAAAAGCCACACGGCGTGGGTGTCTGGTCAGGACAAAGCCGATGCAAAATGATGGTGTGGGGTCAAATGATGGCGACGTGGGTGTTTCATATGGTGTTTCTACCTGAACTGGTCAATGGCACCAAACTGTGGCTTTCTCTGTTAAGCTAATAGCTTTGTTGCGGTCAACCTGTGAAATGCGGTGTTCATGACAACCAGAGTTCTACTGACAACGAGTTCAGTGCGAAAGGATCACTTCCCGTCACTTCCCCGTCCTCCATGAGCTTAAAGACCTCGGCCAGCGGGTTTCCACGGCGGCGGCCCTACGTCACCCAAACCACCTTGAGGTGTCCACCAATTGGCCGTCGTAACCGTTGGGAACCTCGAAGGTCTGTAGACATCTACCTACATGTCAGATTTGCATGGGTGCAGCACAGGATGCAACCACACTATGCAGCAAGATATCCATGAAGACGACGTTTTGCCAGAAGTCTGCTTGCCCCAACCCCGGACAGCAGCACCTGGTTGTGTGTCACTTTTCAGTGCCCCACCGGGCCCCACCCCAGTGAAACAAAAGCGCTCAAGCCGGGCCATTCCCAATGTAGAAAACTACAGGCGTGGTTTCAGCATGTTTTAAACATCCAAGCAGAAAAGCCATGGGACACCAGGGGGCAGAAAGCATCCAGAAAAGCCATGGAAGACAAAGGGGGACAAAGCAGAGTCATCCCAGCAATTAGAAGAGCCACAGGGAGCCAGAGGGCAAAACGGGACAAAGCAACACAAAGCAGAGTCATGTCAGCCAGCATCCAGAAGAGCTATGGGAGACAGGGCGGACAAAGCAGAATCATCTCTAGAAGAGCCACGAGCAAGAAAGGGAGACAAAGCAAAATCGTCTCAGCCCAGCAGCAGAAGAGTTATGCGAAACAAAGGAAGACAAAGCAGAATCATGTCAGCCCAGCAACCAGAAGAGCCCTGGGAGACAAAAGGAAGACTCGGAGACAAAGCACAATCATCTCAGTCGAGCATCTAGAGAAGCCCCAAAGCAGAATCCTCTCAGCCAATCATCCAGAAGAGCCATGCTCCTTTGCCTCCTTTTGTCTGCCATGGCTCTTCTGGTTGCTGGGCTGACATGATTCTGCCATATGCAAGCCTTAGAGTGAGATGCCCAAGTTTTTGAGCCTATCATGTGGAGACAATGGAAGGCAAAGCAAATTCATCTCAGCCCGGAATTCAGAAGAGCCGGGGGAGACAAAAGGAGACAAATGGTCAGATCGTTTCTATGCAAGCAGAACTGCGACTAGACTGACCGATCAATCGCCAAAACAATAACAATGACTTAGGTACAGTAATATCCGCCACCAGTATGCACATGGTTAACCCACAAATGTGATGATATTTCACAATAAGTGGCATGGAACAACCTTGGCCCGGAGTTTTCTTAGGACCAACACGTCCCAACATGTCCCAACACGCACGTATTGCAAACTCGAGCCAAGGCGCGGCATCTTGAACTGAGGCATCCGAAGGCTCTGAATGGATCCTGCCAAAGTCAAACAATCAACCGGTGTGCGTCAGCGGATCGGCGGATAGTACAAAGCTCATACGTCAAAAGCGCCCCAAGAGCTTTGGACCGCAAGAAACATATGTTTCCAATAAAAATGGAAGTGACATCACGTCTTTCCTTGGATTGTGTGCACATGTTGTTCCTCACGCAGCAGATCTGTACTTGCTGTCCCTTTGACGTGTTTGAATGTTGATTTTTCGGCAGAGCGCAGGAGCACCATTGCTGTTGAAAGCAGACCTGATCAGTCCGGCATACCTGCGGTGATAACTTGACACTCCGTCCTGGGACAAAATCGTTCGTTTCTTTGCACCGGTTTGCAGTAAAGTGTTAATAAACTCCGCAGACTTGGATCAATGTTTGACTTTCATTTTCCTTGTTGTGAGACTCAGCTTTCAAACATCTTGGTGTGTAGACCGTCTCACATACTAAATGGTTTATAAAGGCCTTTTCTCACCTAGGTTGGCGTGCGACATGCGGCATTCATGTCGGACGCATTCATGTCGGACGTACTTGTATCCCGAGTGTGAAAACCTGTTCCTTGCGCAAGCACTACGAAGGTTTTAGGAGACCACGTTCCTTACCACGTGTGTTCTTCAAGCGCGGTCTTGGTCCGGTCTCAAGCGCATGGTTTTCACGCGTCTTCTCCAAGTTTGCTGATGAAGTGTGGCTTGAGTTTGCTTTGAAAGTACAGAGTGCTCTTCATGTGTGCTTTGTCCATGTCAAGTGTGGTTTTCCCTTGTGAGTTCATCAAACCTGCCCCTTCACCTCACGCCATCTGCGCGTGCCACGCCGGCGTCGCCCATCGAGCGCGCGACATCGGACGGGCGATGAGCGTCCGCAAGTGCTGGAGCAGCGCAAACAACATACATCACGCTTATTACATGGTGCAAGCTGGCTCTCACAAAACATCACTCATGAAACATCATCTAACTATATATATATATTATATCTTTATAATTGTTGTACGCTCCTGCTGTACGCTTTGAACACTGCTCAGACTCCAGATCGCTCTCCTTCGCCCGGTGATCAAAACCAGATCGCTTGATGCATCTGCTCCCACGGCAGGACCCGTCGCGGGCGTCACGTGCGCTCCCTGCAGGCTTCCCGAGCGGTGGCTGCGGTGGTTCACGCCTAGACCTACACACTTCCTGCTTGGACTTCCCCACTGGAGTGGTAGATGTTGTAGATTTTGATCCGCCGGCCCAAAGAAACACCGAATGATGCGTACGGAGTACGGAGCTTGGATGAGCCAAAACGTTTGGGTTGGGATGGAGCAAGGATTCCGAACCATTCTGCCTCAATCATCTCGAAGATCGCAAGCATAACCACTACAGCAGCCTCATCTGTCGTAAAGCCATGCCTGAGCTGAAACAGCGCAGTGCCTCCAAAAACACTGGACCAACACTGAGATCATCACCATCAGATTGCACTGCTCCAATAGGAAGACCAGGAAGACCAAACCCCCAATGACACTCCAACGCATGCAAACGGACCCACATGCCACGCGCATGGAGTCGGTAAATATGAAAGATGCGGTGAATTCGCCCGGTGCCACCAATGCAATCTGCGATTCTCCGTCGCAAGATCTCTAACCAGTCGAGTTCGAAGGGTGTTTCGATTTTCACTCTTTATTTGTGTCATGTGCGCAAAACAACAATCCCATCATCGGAAACAAATCAAGAGTGTTTCGTCAAGTGCTCACCAGGGATACTGACTAAAAGATACTAAGAATACCTTAAAATCACCATGCAGCTGACCCCCTGAACTGACCTTCTTTCCCGATGATCTATTGTGCTTCCGGATCCTTGAACTTCAGGCAAAGCCTTGGTGTTCATCTTCGTGTAGTCCATGCATTGCGCACGAAAATGGCCCGGCCAGTCTCTTGAGACAAGCGAGACCAGCAAGGAGTGTATTGACTTTAACGTGAACACTTGCATCTTAGAGTCTTAGAAACATATTTTTGCCATGTGCTCCGAAGCACGATGTGCTCAATATCTCCCACACATTGCTCCCACCCTCCCTCTACACCCACCCCTCAACGGACACGTCTAGGTTCCCACACAAGTCGGCCGTAAAGCGCTCTGTCGGCTTCCACACCTGGCACACACCTGCCAAGCATCCGCAAACAATGTCTAATAGAGATGGCCTCCAACCTAGAAGCGATGGCCTCCAACCTAATAGCAGCCCAAAACGCCCCAGTGAGTTGGCCAGAAGTGTCCTTCGAAACATTCTTCCCACTCAGAGGGACACCCAGAGCTGGGGTCGGCACCGGCTTCAACCAGCGAGCGCAAAAGCTGAAGAGCCTCGCAACCAGGTAGGAAGGGTTTAGAGTGACACATCGATGGCGAACTGCAGAACTACTTCTTTTGAGGAACCAATCCAACACCATGGAATGCCGTAAAAATCGGCAAATGCACCAAACATCGCGAAAACCGAGCAGACATGTCGCTCGGCTTGTTCGCGGAAAAGCGCGCGGCCTCCGCGAGGTGACCACCTTGTTCAGGTCGAACCGAAGGAAGGAGGCCAACCAGGTTCCTCTGCATATCTCTCACATGTTGAGACGAAGCTGGAGCTTCCTCAGCTTGTGCCTCAGTTGAATGGTCCACGGCAGAGGACATGCAATTGCAAAAGGGTGCTTTCCGCGTGGCGTGCTTTGATCAGTGGAGTAAGTGCTCCAACTACGAAACTCTGAATCTTGCTGTTTCGTCACTCCGGCCAACACCAAATACTTAATTGTCAAGAAAGGCTTGCATGAGCTTGAGAACTAGTCTTAAACCGTTGGGAACCTGCAGACCTCTCTCACACACTTCTAATCTTTCGACTTTCGCACTACAGGTTTCCCTTGTTGACCCCTTCACTCCTTCTGTAGACTGATGCTATCTCAAAATTCCGGGCGACAAAACACAGATCAGAATGCAAAAAAAAAGAACGTCTCTCGCTGACCCATACAACCCCTAATAGGCCCCAAATAGATCTTCACACCTTGGTCCTACTATAGTCCTCATGCACTCGACCTCGAATCTTCAACAATCGATGCTCTGCAATCGAAACCTCCCCCATCCGGTCACCGGTCCAGCCAAGACGCGGCTTCTTCCACCAGCGCCAAGGCAGCAGTCCAGCAGCTGGCCCGATCGCAGGCAGTGAAGACTTGTTTATAGCTCATGGGTTCAACTTCATAGCCTTCGTCCTTCACTGCAGCCAGAAAGCACAAAGCCGGTTGCCACGCCACAGACGAGCAGGCTGTGGAGATCAAGTGGAAATAAGTGACGTCATCCGGAAAAAGCGATTGACACTGTCGTGCTTCCTCCATCAATGCCAGCGCGTATGGCCATGCATCGACCGTGTGACAGGAGCTGATGCTGATGTTGTAGGTGTGCAGTATGGGAGTCACATCCTCCGCTTGCATTTGTCGAAAGAGGTGCAGTGATGTTTGCCATGATTCTGCTCTTCGGATAGCGGACAGGAGAGCATTCCAAGTGATGGTCGTTGGCTTCAACTTTTTTTCCTCCATCCTCTGAAAGACTTGCAATGCGAACGGCCACCGCCAGGCCTTCTCACACGCGCTTATTACAGTATTGAAGGCAATGACCAGGCTTGCGTGCCCCTTGACCGTCCGTGGCTCTGGCAGCTGCTCCAACAGCAGAAGGGCCTCCGGCCACTGCTCACCTTTCTCCAAAGCGCTGGCCAGCGCACCATAGGTCACCAGGGTGGGCTTGGGACCCAAACCCCGCTCCATTCTTTTGAAAAGCCTTAGGGATTCTCGCCATTCGCTGGCTCGACTACAAGCGCTGATCAGAGAGTTGTACACGGCAGCATCGGCTTCCAGCTGCAGCCCTGGCAGCTCCTTCATCAACGACAGGGCCATACGCCAACGCGCCGCACGGCCACACGCGCTCATGGCGCCAGCGAAATTCACCACGTTGGGCACCAGACCCTCGGTTCGCATCTGGATAAAGGTGTCCAAGGCCAAAGACCACTGGCTCGCCTTCTCGCAAGCACTACTTACCTTGGTGTTTCAGTTTAGTCAAAGCCAGCGGGGTGTTCACTCAGATGAATGATATCTCGTAAATCACGGAGACACTTTCGGAGGAATGTTCCCAGACCGTCCCAGACCGAATCCTGAAAATCCCGTGGTTGGGCCGTTTGGCAGGGACTCAAGAACACATCTTTCACCGACAGTCAAAGGTGTCATGCTTCTGGAAACCTCCTGCGGCTCGTTTCTTGTACCACTGTGTCCTTTGCAGGATGGCTTGTTGGATCCCAGTTGAAAATTGAAGCAAGCCCAACAACTGTTTAAGAAAGGACTCCGTGGTCCGTCACCTGACAACCTGAAGCCCTATGAAGCCGTCACGTCCTGCGGCGCGAGCATCCCGCCGACGGTTGCCACCAAGGTTGGCTGCCAGGTCACGACGCTAAAGCTATAGGCATCGGCCTGAATGGATTGTTCCTTCATGCTGGCAAAGAGAGCAATCACCTCCCTCCATGCCAACTTTTGTGCTAAAGCTGACATACTGGCCGTGTAGGTCTTGGCACTCAGCATCGCCCGGGTCGCCATGGCACAGCGCAGAACTGCGCCCCCCTTCACGGCCGAATTGCCCCCTCACGACGGCGGGGCAAACATGGCCGGGGAACGCCCCCGGGGAGGTCTTTCGCAGCGACCAATCGCACAGAAAACTCGGTGCACGAGGCGTCTCTTGAGCCCAGGGCGTCGGGTGTAGCTTGAGAACGACACCAGTCAAACAGACTTGGAGCTGAGGAAGGTCGGAAGGTCCCAGCGCTTTTCATGGCACAGCTCTTAAGATCTGATCTAGCTTCAGGATTTGAAGCTCGCGCTGTGTGGCTACATAGGTAAAGCAAGGATTGTGACCTGCAAAAGACCCCGTGAACAACGAAAAAAGGCCCAGACTTGCTAAATACTGCCAGGGGCCATGGACTTTATATTCTTTGCAGGCCCAGGCCCATGCAGCATATGTACAAAAGCTCAAGTGGCAATCTTTACCACTTCCACTTCCTTCACCTTTTCCTTTCAAAACCTCAACACCGCCTGCGGCAAACCTCCATTTCACGCCCAACAAGCACTCAGAAGAACTCAGAACTGAACGAACTGCGCCCAGAACAAAACAAAAAACAAAACATATTGGACAGCACTGAAGAGCGAAACAAATCCTTCAAACTAAAACAAGTCACTTCTTCAGGCGTCGTGTTCGCCCTTTAGGCGATGGGCCACGCCGGGGAGACCTCGGCAGAATTGATGGTCGGCCTCTGGTGGATCATGTGGACAAACAACCATTCCAGGGTTCTGCTGCAAGCAGTCCTTGAGCAATACTGTTTTATGTGTGTTTGACTCGAAACCAAAAAAAAATATTGAAGACTATTGTCATCGAACACCCAAGTCTGTTCTTTCAAGTGTTTCATGGGTGTCCCTCATGGCAACTCTAACTCCCAGGAACCCCTTCTCACAATTGTTCACCTTCCCTTGCTGCTTCCGGGCCACTTCCGCGGCGAGGCCACACCCGGAGGCCGCTCCGCCTGAGGCAGGGCCAAAAGCGGTTCAGGCTGCATCCTTTTCTGGAAACGGAACCTATTCCATTGTTTCCAAGGTTTCCATGTCTTGCGCTGTCCGTGTTTGGGATAAAACTCCAGCAATATGACTACAGGAGGTGAACGAACATGGGACTTCTCAACGTGCGCTCATGGAAAACTGGCTCCGGAGTCCGGAGATGACGTCCATTTCTGAAAAGAATCCGCCGACCCCACTCACTCAGCCTGCGTGTTGGAGTCACAGGGAAGCCGTTGATTTGAGTTGATTTTGTTTTCAGCAGGGGAGTGCAGCGTGATTGTGGGACCGCACTCAACGAAGCTACCCCAATCATGGGATACCGAGTCTGATGAACTGGGCATACCTGCACCTGAGTGAATGTTTTTGCCATTCTCCAATTGTAGATGTCCTCGGGCTGTTGCAGGATGACTCAGGCCTGCAAATGTGCAGTCGTCGATTCTCGCTTTCTTTTTTCGCGAACTTTCGAGAACTTTGTGCACTTTAAGATCTTTGGGATTCATTGTCATAGAGGCTTTCATGTTCAGACTGCACTATTTCCTGTACTCCTGGTACTCTTAAGCTTTCATACCTAGGTGGGCGTGCGGCATGTGGCATTCAATTTCAATACGCATTACCTCGAGTGTGTCTCCCCTTCGTGGGAGCCCGGGGTGAGCCCGAAGAGTGCCCCCCCCGGCGGACTCAAGTCGCCCGCAATATTTGGCATGGCACAAGAGACTCAGTGGAGTCTGTCGGAGGCTTTGGTGCACACACAGCATGTACATAAATTAGGCTACTTCCACCCAGGCCTGTTCAAATGAGGCGGGCCCTTTCATTTGGTTCCCACTCGTTCATCTTTTTTCCCCCCAACACACTTTACTTTTTTCCTCTTTCATGTCTCTCCTGGCCTCAGGTTTCGTCATCTCATCCTTTTTCTCTTTTGCGCATATACTGGTCGGACCCTTAGTTCGCACGTGCACCCGTACACGAAACCCAGGTCTGAGGTCGCCCAGGTTGTTATAAGGAGGTGTGGCTCATCTGGCTGTTCCTGGTCACTTGCACCTACACTGTCTTGTCTTGTCTTCCTCTCATGTCTTCATCCTTTGCGCGCCTACACCTTAGTCTGGACCCTAGCTTTAAATTCTGGCCCTCCTCCACGGGGGCGTGTGGAATCTTTTGCTTGAGGCTATCGCCTCCCCTTTTAGGGTGTGTGTGTGTGTGAAACCTTGGAGTGACAGGGAATCCGTTCATTTGGTTTGGTTTTGTTTTTCAGCAGCAGCAGGGGACCCTCACTCAACGCAGTCGTGGGATACCGAGTCTGATCAACTGGGCATACCTGCGCCTGAGTGAATGTCTTAGCCATTCTCCCATCGTAGAGGTCCTCGGGCTGCTGCAGGATGTTTCAGGTCTGCAGATGTGCAGTCGTCGATTCTCGCTTTCTTTTTTCGCGAACTTTCGAGAACTTTGTGCACTTTGAGATCTTTGGGATTCATTGTCATAGAGGCTTTCATGTTCAGACTGCACTACTTCCTGTACTCGTGGTACTCTTAAGCTTTCATACCTAGGTGGGCGTGCGGCATGTGGCATTCAATTTCAGTACGCATTATCTCGACGCCGCCTTCCAGGTTTTTTCGCGCGTTTTTTTGAAGGTATGCAAAGGTGTTCCTTCGTGTTTACCGCGGTCTTATCCTAGGTTCGTCGTGTGTCTTTCTCATGTTTGCTTGTGCCGATGCAGGATTTACTGATATACTGATGTTTCCCAAGGTTTCTGTGCAGCGCATGCTTTGATAGAGGTTTTTGTTGTTTCTTGATCAAGGGTTCCCTGTATTTTTGTTGAAAAATGAGCCCGTCTTGAGGACTGCACACCCTGTGGCATCTTTCTTTACATGGGTGGCCGCCTTTTCCTTCGAAAAATGGCAGAGATGTAGAGATCGAGATCCAAAGATGCAAAGTTTCTTGAGACTACTCTTGAGATCTAGAGATCCATATAGAGCTTGAGGTTTAGGAGATCTAGTGGTCCCGATCTTGAATTCGAGATGCAGGAAAATCCAAAAAGCTCTAGAGGTCTGGAGATCTAGGCCCAGTGGCCCAGGAGGAGCTCTAGAGTTCTAGCTACAGACCTACAACTCCACATGTAGTCTAGAGTTCTACCGCTCGCATCTAGAGGTGGACAGAGACGTCAAGAGATCTCGAGTGCTGGAGAGCACACATATGAGAGGACATCTAAAGAAAACACCTATGAGAGCGCACCAGCCTAGAACAGACGCCTATTTGCAGTGGAGGAGCGCAAGAGCGGGCGCGCCAGCGTCTGATTCTGAGGTTCGGGACTCCATCTAAGGAAAAAATGGGCTGGGCTCATCTAAGAATGGCTTGCAGTCTGTGCCAGTGGGCATCGCCGGTGTGCGAAGCCTGTCAATAAAAACAACCACCTATCGGTCCGCAGCAGGCGCCTTCAAAATGAGGCTTTCTCCAATCTTGGATCACCCGTGTCATGAACTAGGATCTGTTCGCGTCACGGTGGCGCTGGACGGGCCGGAACATGGAACGCCAACCCACTGGTTGACAGAGCTCTTCTAGGGTCCATTCCTTTGGTCCAAATTGAATACCATTCATAGACATAGTCAAAAACCTGCAACATGGCAACATGGAACCTTTGCCCCGCCTGCCGCGCCGCATTGCGGGCCGCGAAGATCTCCACCAACGTCGACCCCTGAGCCGCACATCTTGACGTCATCAATGGCCTCAAAAGCCCCAACCATATCTCTTATGAGTTATGATGCATGCGATGGCCTCCAACCTAACAGCGATGGTCTCCATGGCCTCCAACCTGCTAGCAATGATCTTCAACCTAAAAATTGTGATACGTGCACACCCAAACCCTGCCATCCCTGATGCATGAATAGCTTTCGCCCGTCCCAAGCGCAAAAAGTCTCCCCAGACGTACCTTGGCATGATTGTCCTAGGGACCGGTGGGTCTCCTGTATCCTGTCCCAAGTCCCTTTCAACCCCCTCCAGATGCTAAGACACCTCGACCCGCCAATAAGAATCATGGTTGTGTGGAATGACATGGCCCCAAAAAACAGGATGACCATGACCATGAAATCGAATGCCATGGCCAGGTGGTTTTCACCCACTCCACGTCATCGATTCTTTCAGGCAGTGTAGGTCTTTCCATCTGGGCATTGTGGTGGCACGAAACCCCGCGGCCCAACAGATCGGTCCACCCGGCGTCGCGCTTTGGTCGCGGCCTTCTGTGGAGATGGGGCCTCGTTGGGAGGCCCGGAGCTTCGTCGTCTTTCGGCGTGGCGCACTGCCACCGCGCGGTGAACCTTCAGCCTTTTGGACATGTTGTGGAAAAAGGCTGCCTCACATGAATCTGCACAACCTCACGGGGTTCACATGTCCAAAAAGTAGAGGTGACCACAGCGAACAAAGTAATTTCTTTTTGCACATCCCACACATCAATAGTGGATACATGTGGATACACTGGAGAACGATCCAGTGTTGCTACCAACAAAACCCTGCAAAGAATCCGACTTGGGAGTACCCGTGACCATTGAAGGCCTGCACCGATCTGACCACGGAAATCCCTCACTGTCTAGACTGTTTTGGAAGGTATATTTTTGTTGGATGTTTTCTTTCCACGATAGCCTCTTCGACGAAACGCGTGTCCCAAAGGAGTGAATCTTTGAGCGCTCGGCCTGCGGCTCATCTTCCTCCTCAACCTCAAGGCTGCCGACTCGCAGCATTGACATGAGGAAAGGTTCAAATTTACAGTTCTCCAAAGGAACGTGTACGTTCTTGGAAGGTTATTTATAATGCGGTTTAGATCTGTTAACTCAGTGTCAATATGTCTACCCTCCATATTCATCCCATCTCGAATCCAGAGCAATGGCAGGTTCGGCCGTCCTCGTTGTGAGACAAACCCACATGTTTTGCAGATTTATATAGATCATGTTAGTATCAATTCACCCAGTTTCACACTCATCCATATCTTCCTTTGCTCCAACATACATGAC